TTGGGACAGAAAAGAGCTTCATATCATTAGGAATCAATTATACAATCCACGTGTGTGTGCGCGTGTGTGTGTTAAATTAAAATAATAATTCGCTTAGAATTACGAAAATACCCTACTGTTGTTACAAAGCTATATGACTTACTTGCTTCTGTTAAACATATAGTAAAATATTAACATCTTGGCCACTCGTCTCCATATACAATATATATATATATATATATATATTTTTTTTTTTTAGTGATGCCATTAGAAGTACCATTTTTGGTTGCCAAAAGAACCTTCCCGTTATTGTGAAGAACATTTTATTTACATTTTAAATTAATTGAAAGGTTCCATGGACATTAAAGGTTCTGTAACACTTTAGTTTAAGTGTTCTCCCTATTAGTTGCTTATTAGCATGCATATTAATAGGATATTGCCTGTTTATTAGTACTTATTAAGCACATTAATGCTTTATTCTGCATGACCATATTCTACATTCCTTAACCTGCCCAATACCCAAACTTAACAACTACCTGACTAACTATTAATAAGCAGTAATTAGGGAGTTCATGTGGCAAAAGTCATAGTTAATAGTTAGTTAATAGTGAGAATTGAATTATAATCTTAAGTGTAACCAAAGGATGGTTCTTTATGGAACAAATCAATCCCAATAAAGAACCTTTTTTAAGAGTGTAATGAGTGAATAAGGTTGTGAATAATGTTGTGGTAAAAAAAAACACCACTGTATCATAAAAATTCTTTAAAGGATTTATATATTACATCTCAAGCCATTTGAAGCCATAAAAAGAATTATAAGAACAGAAGATTGAATAAAGACTAATTTTGCTTAAACATTTTAATCCCACAATTATTATTGGATGGCTTCAAAAGACTTGGAATATAGCACGTGAGTCATATGAGCTTGTTTATGTTACAGCCCCACTGTCTATTTGCTTTCATATCTCTCTCTCTCTCTATATATATATATATATATATATATATATATGAGGGTGAGTAAATAATGACAGAACATAAACATTACAACAAACAACAGAACATTAATTTTTCAGATGTACAGTATATAGCAACATTATTGATCCAATATACACACAAAACACTTTCTCCTTATGAATCTTTTAGTTCCAACTCAGTAACTTGAGTGTGCTAAGCTGCTGTCGCTGACTATGAGACTAGCATTTGAGCGGTATTCGCCAGCTCCTGTCTGTCCTCGGCTAAGCCTGCAGGGCTGAGCTCCTCTTAACCATGGAATCGCCAGCGCTGCACTCCCTCTCTTACGTAACCCTCTGATAGGCCTAACCCTTATGCGAAACTGCGGACAGGTGCAAGGAGCCTGGCAGCCTACAAGAACAGCCACAAGCTTAGTTTTTCTTTTTCTCTAAATAATAGCGTTGTTTATGAATATGTATATCGTGTGTACACTAATTCTGATTCCTTGGTTCAGCAATGATGCATTTTGACAGATGCAAAATGCACGCATCTTGGTGTAGATAAATAGAAAACGAATGTGCAAATCTGTAATGCTTTTAGCAACACTGAGATGTTAACATTTAAAGAGGTAGTCAAATCCGGCGCTAACATCCCTCTAGGTTTTTCTATTTACATATTTCATCTCGTCCTTTAAGGTTTTTAATCCTTTAAGAAAGTAAAATCTGTATAGGTACCACAATGACAAATGTGCAGCATTGCTGTATTGGTAGGAATGGCGATGACATCATGTCCTGTTGGAATGTCATGGTGGTGTGGATGATTGCTCTGACAGGCAGACTATACAGGCCTCCTACCCATAAACCCAGGGAGGCTGTGGTCGTCCTGGCAACAGTGACACAGACACGGACGTCTCCTTATTTCATATGACAGGTCTACACACACAGGCCCTGTGGCCATTCTCACACAGACTCATCCAATATATTCATTCAGACCAAAACACTGTCACATGCAACACACAAAACGTTTGAACACACATTAACTGAATATTTCTCAACTTTCGTTGAGCTAGCACGCAGATCCTAATTTTGGTAACTATAACTATATGGCATATTTTATCGGTGGTCAATACTGCCGTGGCCAAGCGATCCAGCGCCCTGCTTTTAACGGGCTATAAATAACTTGATCGTGTGCGATTTAAAGTTAAACAACAATTTCATAACACCGCTTTGTGTCTGATTGCATTCACAACAGGTTCAAGTCTCTGTGCTTGTTTGACCCAGTTTGGCTCTGGCACTGGTCAAAGTGGGTCATGAGAGGAACCGGTCCAATGTTCTGAGTCTGGGGCCAATCACACAGAACTCACAGTCCTCGTTACCACACACAAAGCCTGAAGATTTCAAGCACCAGGCCATAAAACATCATACTGTATTGTAATGACCTTAAAAGCAAGGACAGGGTGTGCTACTTTTTCTTTTTGAAAAACTATTTTCACATGTTTTAATGTGAACCACAGTCCCTGCAGATGATAGTATTAGCGCCTCGAGATGAAATGCAGTGATAACAGAGTAACTGATCTATCTGAAGAGCCCTTAAAGTGTACATAACTCATTCTGTAATGGAGTAAAATTAAAAACACTCAGGAGCATTTATAAGTTACTATTAAGCAGAATCGTTTCAGTTTTGATGCAAAGCAGGTAAAGGACATCTATTTATCGGTGAGTAAAAATAGTAAAAGGTAAAACAATTTTCCCAAAAAATATTTGCCATAAAAAATTTAAATTACAATAATTTGAATCTTTTTTTTTACCTTAGGTCTATGGCTGCATAATTCATCAAAATGAAATGTTTGATAAAAATAGATTACTTTCGTAATATTGCTATTGTACTGTAAAATAAAAATATTTGATATAAATATTACAGATAAGATGTTTCATATAAATAAATTACATAAATCAATCTGCCCCAAAATAAGACATCACAATGTATTAAAAACATTTACAAGTTTTTAACATTTGTTTTAATGTTTTGCTTTAACCTATCCCAGTAGAACACTAAAATGTTCCTCTTAGTATTTTGTTACTCTTAGTACAGTTGTCAATACTGCTCCAATTATCATACAGAGAGGTAAACTCAAGGTGACATTGCCATGGAAACGACCTTGTGTGTGCTTCCTGTAGCTAAGGGTCATTGGGGGCAAACACCCACCCCCATAACCACCAAACCTACAGACACTATGGCTTAAAATTAGTGGGCTTGACTGAGACATGAAGAGCTACTACAGTCCAGACTATTTAACGTGTATGTGTGTGTTAATCCCATTACATTGCTCATTGTACCTTTACAACAAACATAACATTTTATTTTTTTCAAGTATATTGTGCACAAAAGTACTTATTCAATCATGAAACGTGTATATTATTCACAGTATGAATACAAGATACAAACTGGCCAACATGTAATACATAGACTAGTCAGTCTGAGTTATATTCTCACAGTCAGATTAGCAGCGCGCACACACACACACACACACATAACTAGATATGCACTCACACTTCCAAACCTCTGAGCTTCATACTGCGGTCTCAAGACAGGTGTGTTTGCGTCAACAGTGCTTCTGTCTAAAAATGAAGACAGATGTTGTAGGTAAGACAACATTTCAGGTTTAAAAGGTCTTAGTTTGTTTTGCAGTTTAATACGTTCACTTCACAGATTAAGCAAGTACAGTAACATTTAATTTAGCACTTCTATTTAAAGCAACTTGCTACTCATAAAAATGATTTTGGCAGGGAACAAAAATAGCCTTTGTGTTTTGTGTTTAGTAACTTTTTGATGTCCAAAAACAATATCTTATTGTTTCATTTTGTTTTACGCATTGTCTTATTAATTCAGTTTCCTGTAAACTGTGATGTAGAGACGGAACTAAACAACTCGCAAGTGAGGAAGAAATGTTACAATTTTGATCTAGAATCATAGCTCAGATGCATCCTAGTTTTGCAACTGATTTAATCTAAAGTAAAAATGTGTGTAACTAATACTGCAGTTATTAAATCTCAGCTCAAACTACTTATTATTGACATAATTAACATTGTGATCGTTTTTGATAAATTTTGAACTCGCATTGTAGAGGTCTCTACTTCTAAATCATAACAGAATTGCATCTGAGACTGCTTTTGCAATGTATTATTTCATAACAATGTAATGTTTCATTTAGATAGGTGCTTATACTAATTGGGAGTTCATAAAGGGGGAATATATATATATATAGATATGTGTATATATATAAATGCAAATGTACAAGAATAAAGTAACCTATAAGAGTGGATGAGAAATATGACATTCATTATTTTTTGTACAGTACATTTTTTTGTCATTATAGGCAGATGTGAATTTGCTTTTGAGTGAAAGAAAGATTAATTGAGAATTGCTGCATCAGATAAGCCAGTTGAGACCAGGGGAACAAGCATGTGTAGAAATAATTTAGGATTAGATTGGGTGGCTAATCTCTTTATTGTGAGTGTGCCGCCTCAGCAGGGAGATGGGTTCCTCTCTCTGTGTTCCTCTTCCATGCTCTTTCTCTCTCTTGAAGGTTTTCTGTCTCGTTTTATCTTTTCTTTTTCATTTCCTAGTCACACATGCAAGCGATGGAAAGGTTGAAGCTGAGCCTCGCGGCCATGTATTTGTATTTGTTTCCTCATTAAACAACTTGCCATGTTCTGATTATGTAATTCAGTGTGTACTGTCCTTTCCTTGTACAAGTGCAAGACTTTTCATAAAGACAATCTCTCAAACACTACAGTATGCTTAAAATTGATCAATTTAAGAGGTGAAAAAAGCACAAACTGAGAATCCATTCTCAAACTTGAGAGAAAACCTGAGAGAATACTAGACTTTGAATGGCCTTTCATGTCTTCCAAGAACCACAGATTACAAAATGTCAATGGGTCTTGACAAAAATGTAAAAGGCACATCCAGTGATCACTCTAAGAATCATGGTGGTCAAGAGAGGAGGACAAGTCACAGGAACAAAGGCATATAGTAATGTAACTGTATTTGTTTTGTTCATTTTTTAGCCCAAATTGAAGTCATACCATGCAAAATCTGTGGAGACAAGTCATCAGGCATCCACTATGGAGTCATCACATGTGAAGGCTGTAAGGTCAGTGAAAGATGTCTTTTCTTCTGTACGTTTGTTAGTCATCCATGGACTTTTCCAAATGGTCCTGCACTGCAATAAGTCAGTTCAGTGTTGAATTGATTCAAGTTCACTAACAGAGTCAATAAACAAAAAATATATACATTTTCCAGTGTAATCATTTCTGCCACTCTTTTTTTTTGTTTTCGACAGTGTATTAGATATGAGTGTTTCTGCATGTAACAATCTAAATCTACTATTGTTGTTGTTGTGCCCTCTGTAGGGTTTCTTTAGGCGCAGTCAACAGAACAACGCCTCCTACTCCTGTCCCCGTCAGCGCAACTGCCTAATTGACCGAACAAACCGCAACCGCTGCCAGCACTGTCGGCTCCAAAAGTGCCTGGCTTTGGGCATGTCCCGTGATGGTGAGAGATTTCACATCAGGGTTCCTACACATTTTACATTTCAAAATTCCCTACTTTTCCAGACTCTAATTTTACAAACCTCTCTGTAGATTCAAAAGAATTCAGTTCAGAAGCGACTTGCTTATGGTAAAGAAAGCAGTTTTGCATGATCTCTGAACTTATACATGAAAACACTTTTTTTTATAGAAATTCTTTATTTTTTAAAATCGAATAGGAGCAATAGTCTGGAAACAGTTATATCCATACTCTGCTTCTTCTCCATCCTGGAAATTCCATACTTTTCCAAAATGCATGGGAACCTTGTAACATTCTAAAAGATAACATAATAATACTGTAATAATCTGATTGTCGACAAGCTGGGTTGATCTTATTGATAGCTTTAAAACCTGCACTAATCTGATTTTGTTTTCTTTCGCCTTCCCCCATCAGCTGTTAAGTTTGGCCGCATGTCCAAGAAACAGAGAGACTCCTTGTACGCAGAGGTTCAAAAACACCAGCAGAGGCTGCAGGAGCAGCGGCAGCAGCAGACGGGCGAAGCGGAGGCCCTCGCTCGTGTTTACTCCTCCAGTCTCACCAACGGCCTCAGCACCCTCAACCATGAAATTGGAGGGACATACGCCAATGGTCACATTATAGACATGCCCAAGGGTCAGACGAACGGCGCTCCCGGAGGTTACTACGGCATGGACTCCACACAGGCCAGCCCGGATCAGTCTGGACTGGACATAACTGGAATGAAGCAGATCAAGCAGGAACCCATATATGATCTCACTCCTGTTCCCAACCTTTTCACCTACGGCTCCTATCAAGATAGCCAGCTAGCACCTGGAGTGTCCATGGGGGAATTAGGTAGGACTAATAGTAAAGCCAGTTGGAAATTTGGCCCTCGAGTTGCATGGTTCATGGATGTATGAGTATTTCTAGCAAACACATTTACCTTGGTTGCATGAAATCGTGATCTAATATTCGATTTCCCTTCCATTGCACTGTATTTAATAAAACTCAACGGCAGTCTTTTCTCTTTACCAGACCGAATTGCACAGAACATCATAAAGTCCCACCTGGAGACGTGTCAGTACACAGCAGAAGAGCTTCAGCAGCTGGCCTGGCAGACGCACTCCTATGAAGAGGTCAAGATGTACCAAAGCAAGGTGCGAGGTCACTCTCTCAATGAGCAAATGCCTCAGGTCCCCTCACGACGCCTGGTTCTCGGTCGTACATTCATTTACACGCTTTTACACCTGGTGCTGACTCTCTCATCTCTCACCCTTTCGGTCCTCTTTGCTCATACTTCGTTCCCTCTTCATAGTCAGATTGCACGCTTGAGATCAGAGTTCATTAGAGTATCTCAGCCCCCTGGAGCTGATCCTATCCAGCTTTTGCACTGATATGGAGAAAAAGAGAAAGCAAGAGAGCTAACGGATTTAGCTAACGAACACTCAAAGCACAATAGGGGAGGGTGCCAGACGCACTACAAGCCCTCTTTATTTCCCTGTGTCAAATGGATTATGGGTAATTACCGAGAAGCCCTTTGAAATAGTGCCTATGAAGATTCGCTATACAGGGAGAGAATTGCAGAGCTCACAAAAGCAATTTGCTGATATCACAATTTCAGTATTCCGTGTGCTCTGTAAGGATGTTTCATAAATGGGAAACTACAGATTCTGCCTTTTTTGTTGTGATTTTTCATGATGAGCGCTGAAAATTTCCATCATTACTTTTTAAAACTAAATTAAAGAGCAAAAGTGTACTCTACTTGTTTAATTTAGCTTTTATACAGAAGAGTGCAGAAAATTCGACATTAATTTTTTTTTTTTTCACCTCACCAACCGGAAGAGTGGAGAAATGATGGCTTTGCCATCACAGAAATAAATTACATTTAAAGTATATAAAAATAAAAAAGAGATGTTTGAAATTGCAATAATATTTCAAAATATTACTGTTTTCACTGTATTTTTTTTTATCAAACGAAGAGTCTACTTTAAAATTAGCAATTATTAACAGAGAAAAAAAGTTTCATGTAATAATTTCTCCAGAACAAAAACAGGTTACAAGCTCACCTATGAGCCCTATGTGTGTGTGTTTCAGACACGGGACGTGTTGTGGCAGCAGTGTGCTATGCAGATAACTCATGCCATTCAGTATGTGGTCGAGTTCGCTAAGCGCATCACTGGCTTCATGGAGCTTTGCCAGAACGACCAGATATTGCTGCTGAAATCAGGTAAAGAAAAGACCATGATATATACTCTATTACACACTGATTAAGATTGTAGCACTGTAAATCCAAATTTTGTGATTCAAAAAAACACTTTTCTCTCAAACTCAGGTTGTCTGGAGGTAGTGCTGGTCAGAATGTGCCGGGCATTCAACCCTCTCAACAACATGGTTCTGTTTGAGGGGAAATATGGAGGCATGCAGATATTTAAAGCTCTAGGTACAACTATTCCCCATGCTCAAAACGCTATAAACATAGTTTAACATCATCAATTGTTTGTGATAATTTAAGCATGGATTCTAACACACTTACCTTCTGCAGGTTGTGACGACCTGGTCAGTGCGGTGTTTGACTTTGCCAAGAGTTTGTGTTCACTGCAGTTAACGGAGGAGGAGATCGCCCTTTTTTCTGCTGCGGTGCTCATTTCTACAGGTCAGACCTGACTACAAAACTGACAAGTATCTTAGTGTGAACATAAAGATGTGTTCATTGAGTATTAATGAGGTCAAATCAACATTTAGTACTTACCCTAGCAGCATATTTCTATATAATTATCTTGCGTTTCTAGACCGGCCTTGGTTAATGGAGCCCAGGAAAGTGCAGAAGCTACAAGAGAAAATCTACTTTGCCCTGCAGCACATCATGCAAAAGAATCATCTGGACGAGGATGCCCTGGCCAAGGTACACAGTTCAGACAGGAATCGAACACAACTTAAATAGTTTTATCACGTTAGGCATGTGACCTTTATTCCACTGTACCCGTCTTTGTTTTCGCAGCTGATTAGCCGGATCCCTACGCTGTCGGCTCTATGCACTCTCCACACGGAGGAGCTCCAGGCCTTCCAGCAGCTCCACCCAGAGACCGTTAACATGCTCTTTCCTCCTCTCTATAAGGAGCTCTTCAATCCTGACGCCACTGGCGTCATGCCCAAATGACCAGACACGTTTACCCACACACTTCTACGTCTTTCATTTAACAATCGACAGGCTGTCCCTGGAAGGTGTTGCAGAAGATGAACAGCATCCGCAGATTTTGGAGCCACAACAACAACAACAACAAACTCTAGGAATGTTCTGCACTTCAAAAACCAACTCAATTTCACCGGTACAGTCATAAGAATGTATATACGCGGCAGCAGCAAAAGGCGCCTTCAGTTTGACAAGAAATGTACAGACTTTAGGACAATTTAAGCTGTCTTTAAATTGGGTAAGTTCATTTGTTTAATTTGATTTCTCTCTTTTTTATATAAAATATTGTTATATTGAAATGAGAAGGTGGGGAGCGCATTCAAAAATGATAATGTAGTCATTTCTTTAGTACGAAGCGGTATTTCAGTATTAAATTTTGTTCTGTTAATATTTTAGTCATAATTTAAAAACAACGGTGGCCTGAAAGGCCCGTACCTTGTCAATGTAATTTTTCGTATTTGTTTTGTAGTTTTACCTGTACATAATACTGTATGTGAAATTGAAACTGGTATAAGGTTAACGGGGGATTAACTTTGTTTGGTCACGTTTAAAAGCCTTGTCTGGGCAATGTAGATATGTATAAACAGCACCACATTAATCCTACCACTGAGGATTTTTGAAGTGGAAAAATAATTGATTTTGATTATTTTCCATACGAAAATATAGAGATATATATATTTTACAAAAATTGTATGGCTGATTACCATCTTGTCAGTCATAGCTGCAATAACAGTTTCTGAAACTGCTGAAAAACAATCCAGTCAAATGTGACATTATGGGAAGCCCTCAGAACTACTTTGAATCTATAAACCCGTTTGCAATGCTGTTCTTACTGCCAAAAAATAAAACAGCACTAGTGTATGTGAAGCTGCAGCCCTCTGTCTGTGAAGGCATAAATAGCTAGTACAAAATAAGCCCTAACATTTACTGCCACTGATATGATGTGTTTCCCTGCTGCCTTTATAGTAGATTCTCTGATTTGAGCAATAATTTCTAATCCATCATTAAGTGCACAGGTCTGTGGCATTCTTAACCATATGCTAATTGTAAAGTACTCATCCTTATTTTGAACATCAATTTATTTACATATTCATTAATTTTTTTTTTTTTTTTAATTCAAAGAAAACAAATGGGATTTAAGCAATCTGTTGGAGCATTGTCTAATTCAAAGACATTATTTCAGGAATTCCATTGGAATTTTTAATCATAATTTGGAACTAATCCTATTTTATCATAATCAAATCGAATTTCTACACGCATAAAAAAGGAAATTTTCATGTTTTTATTTATTTATGTATTTATTTTATTTATTTTGGGGGGAGAAAATTGCTTAATCATGAATAAAAAAAAAGGAATTTAATTCAGATTAGGAGATTATCTTGGAATTTAACGGGTTAAGAATCCATTTTAGGAAAGCAGATTTAAATAGCAGCATTAACAGTCATTCTTTAGCACAGGGATATTTCAATACACTGAGCATCCTTAAACTGCTGTAATCCACTGTTAAAAGCTAGTGCGAGTGGTAATAATGACAATCATCTTTGAGTACTCATATTGCAGTATAGAAAAACAAATGCAGCGACAGAAGGGAGATTGGTAGTTCAATTGGAGGAATTCTGAAAGGGCAATTTGGGTTTGGACCCTTTTGGTCCAAACATAAATCTCATAAAGTACCGTCTCTTACCACCAGGTGGAGATACTAAGGGTGCTTTTTCCCTTCTCTTGGCATGTACAGGATGTAAAGCCATATGTCAGTTTCAACAAAAAAGAAAAAAACAACAAATACACAAGCTAAGACATTCGGTTACACCGATCAGTGAATTTTTTGTACAACTTGATGCATTTATATTGTGAAATGCACTTGAAAGCACTTAACTACTGTATGAAGGATTAATAACTACAGATACATGGTATTAAATACATGCACAAATGTTGTCTGCTGAGAAGCAATCATACTACCTGTTCATACTAATGCTCTCAGCCCAACTTCAAGGGAATGTTTCCGATTCCTTCAATGTTAGTGTCCTGTTCAAGACAATCATTTTCGGGTGCATTTTTTCTTGGCACCCATCTCAGGGACTTCTCTTTTAAAGTTTTCAATAGAAAGAGAGTACTATTTTAAAAGAAATATGGACATTTTTATGGAATTAAATACAATCACAGCGGTTTCTTCACATACAAAACCTACCCAGACAAGGCTTTGGTGTGTGTGTAAAGCGTGTACCCATGATTGAGGGGTGAAACAGGCCTAATTGCCACACTGCATTGCTTGTTGCACGTCCCAGCAAACGGCTCTCTCTCTCTCTGTAAATATCAATGTGCAGCAGTGTACCAGCAATGGTGCCAGTCCTGAGCTCCAAATTAAAATGTAATGTAATTATTAAGCATCTCCTGAAATTAAATGGATTTTATGTAAGTTAGATTATTTATACAGAGCATGAATAAGCTGCTCTCTATCTATTTCTATGCTCATTACAAAAAAAAAAAGGATTCAGTCAGAAATCATTTCAAACATATGATGAAGGCTTTTTGTATTAGACTGTGAAATGAGGGCGAGAGGAATTTGTATCGACACTGTTAGGTACTGTAGCAATAACTGGAAGCATTTACTACAGTCATCTTTGCATTCTAAGATTATTTTTATTTTATTATAATATTATTAGCCTATTGTTGTTCAGTTATTCTTGCATGCTGGTTCATAATAATGAAACCTTTGGGCATTTGTGTTTTCTTATGTGTTGCTGAAAGTGGGTGGGCAACGAGGGTCGGGGTGGGGGCGGCGTTGGTTTCGAGCTCGTTTTTATTCTGAATGTGTCTGGGTGTTGACTGAAAACACCACACCCACTTAATTCTGTTCTCACACACACTGACATAAGCACAAAGTATTTCTTATTGTGTAGGAGTAAAATATATAAGGGCACAAGTTCAAAACATAGGCAAGTATTGTGAACGCAGACGCGAGTTCTACTTGACCGCATGGGGCGTTATGGCGCGAATTAGCGAAAATTTATTATTGTATTGCGGCCTGTTCTCTTTTAACATTAGGTCAATTACTGTCGGCGCTGCTGAGCTACAGTTAGTTAAAGTACCGTTTGTTTGTGGCAACTGAACTTATCTGAATGTAACTCTATCTCCCCCTTGAGACTTGTTACAGCCGTCAGATCAATGTAAAAGCTGTCAGTGCGTTGACCAAGCACAGCACTCGCGTCTGCGCATGCGTAAATTAAATGTTTTTGGTCCTTGCTGAAGACTAGTTACGAATGAATATACCAGCTAGGCATAAACTAGTCCTACACATAACATGAAAGAAATAACAGATGTCTCTGTGTTTTTGAGTCAAAAACTCACGTGCTGCCACAGATGGCTACAGTACACGTTCTACTGAAGTTCTGATGCATAGGCTACTACACATTTCTATTTTTTTCTTTCTTTCATTTAATTTCTTTTCTTTCTTTTTTTTTTTAATTAATGAATCAGAATGTCTCCCTGGATGAAAACAAAACTAAACAAACAACAAACAAAGGTAGCATCTGTTACCAAAACTCTTAAGACTGTACTTAGCGTGCAAAATCTTTTTATGTACTAAATATGTAAACGAAACATTTTTGTTTTCAAGTGCCATAGCTAGTGTGAAGTGAAGCTGAATGGCATATGGGATAGATGCTTTACTGTACAAGTTGTTTACTTGAGAAGCAATCAAAGTGGAATTCAGATGCAAGTGTGAATATTCAGACAACCAACTGTTTGTTGTTCATGGAGAACGGGCTCTGATTGACAGAACTTTAGCACATGTCCACAATACAAGTAAAGCACATGTAGCATGGGAGGGTGGGGGGTTCTGTTAACTTGCCAACGGTGTGAGTGTGTGCATATGTGTGTGTATATATAAATGTGAGTTGGATTGTAAAACAATATATAAGTTAAGGGTGAATAGCACTTTGTGTGTGTGAGTGGATGAATATGTATGAATGAATATGAGTGAGGGGCAGGGTGGGGGGATTGGGGGTTGTTGAGCTTGAGGTGCAAGCATTGTGGAATGGACATGCAAAAGTACTGATTAATCAAGACCTTAAAGTGTCTCCTCCATGTTGTATATACTAAGCGAAGGACTTAAGTGATTTTTGTTAAATTCTATATTTTATGGCTTTTGTAGACATTTCTTTGTGGGATAAAAAAAAAAATAAAGAACATTTTATGGATGCAATCTTGTCTTCATTTCTTGTGTTCCAGTAAAATTATCGAAACATCCTTAAACATTTTAGAATCAAAAGTGTGTAAGATAAAAAATGAAACCTTTAATAAATGAATAAATAAAATATATTTTCAGAGAACCAAGTCTTGTTACCTTATGCGGTTATCATAGGGAAAAAAATTTACAAAAAAATGTTGCCAGTGGGCTAAGAAAAATAAACTTTAAGATACATGATCTTATTATCTTGCAATAAATAAATAAATACATCTTGTTTTAAGGATGTTTAGATTATTATTATAAATACTGAATTATATATTGCACTCAAGGACAGGCCCAGTTCTAAGACTGCATGGTTGGTTAGACGTTGATTCATAGGTTTTTGATTGATTCTTTATAATAAAATGTATAAGATTTTATTAAAATGCATTAAAAATATTTCTCAAGAAAAATAAACTAAATCATTCCACCAGTGGTAACATTAAATATGTGTATTGTTGAGGTCATAAGTTTACCCTTGTATAATCTACATTAAAAAAGGGATCATAAAAATTGCATTTGTTTTTATTTAGTACTGATGTTTTAAAATAATCATGTTATTTCACATAACGGATGTTTAAATAGTCTATTCCAAGACCAAATGAATAACCAAATTTACACAAAAGCCCCAGTTCAGAATTTTGCATATGCTTGATTCTTAATACTGTGTCGTCACCTGGATGAAGTTCCTTGGATCTCAGTATCATATAGTCACTGATGGAAAGAGTTAGTGAAGGATTTTTCTGAAGAACAGTGAACCGTTTAGCTGCTCAGGACAAACAAGTGACTCAACCATATAATAGTAATACTATTATTTTGTCTTGTGGGCTTTATGTTATGTAAAAGCTTATTCAGGGCAGTATAACATAAAAAGCAGTATGCAATTTATGATACCTCTTATTTTTTTGCAGATCTGTAAGGTGTATGCAACTAAGAGTGTAATCATATTTTAGAGAGGAGCAAAGCTGAGCAAAAATATTCCATAATTTCAGTAGAATAAATATTTAATTTTTAAAGGTTTTATTTTATTTATTTCCATAATATCCTGGAAATAAGTATTTTAAAATTCCCTGGAAATAGGTTCCCTTTCAAGGGAATTTCGAGCTGCGTTGTCAAACGCGATGGGAACGCTCTGCGTGATTGCGTCGTGAAGCGTCTGTACAATCAGTCCAATGAGAGAGTAGGACGTCAGGTGACGTCATCGACCAGGAAACTATAAAGCACCCTTGAGATCAGACCGCGACAGCTTCTGTAGCCTTCAGCAAGCGATCTCTGTACTCTGTCCTTGTCTATTTATTGTTGTTTGTCAAAGCCAAGAAAAGAAATATATATCAAGCAAGATTATAGACGCTGTGTGGTTCCCTGCCCTCGTTACATCACGGGTGGGGACACACATCAGCTATTTGTTTGGGAGTGGAGCATGCCAGCAGTCAGTTCTCGAGGGAGCTGATTGTGGGCATTGCGAGAAGCTGTCCGCGAGGACGCTCCGCTCCCGCCGGGCGTTCTCCGAGGAGGACGGTTCGGTTCGCGTTCCCCGCGCGGGTCTCTCTGTTGCCGAGGCACGGAGACGACTCGCATTTCGGGGTTCGCAAACGGATCTGACAGCGGGGGTTGGGACGAGCTCAGCTCTATCTAAGCTTTCACATGCCAGATCTGGACTGCGATTTCCAGTTCCGAGGAATTGGTATCGTTAGTGTTTTGTTTTAAAAAGAAACAGTACAAACAAATAAAAATGTTAAGAAAAAGGCAGATGTTTGACTTTTAAATGAATGAATAAATAAGTCAGCTCATATCTGCTGAATAAAGAGGAGCTTTTAAAAGGAGGTTTTATTTATGCTTTTGCCAGTTAAAATTTTACTGGCTAGCTGAACAT